AAAAAAAAAAAAAAAAAAAAAAAAAAAATCCACCCGTGCCCTTGGAGGAAATCTGGTCGGCCTGATGGCTCGTTTGAAGATTTTTGCTTGAAAAGCTTCTCTCTGAGATTGTGCTTGAAGAGCTTTTCTCAGAGGGAACAGTGTAATACCTTATGAGATAAAAAAAAAAAAATATCCCTCACTGTTTCCAAATAGTTTCCATTGTTTTTATTTTATAAAAAGTTCTGAGTGGAGTTTGTTGTGAAAAGTTCAGTCACATTGTATGCGCTCTGCACCGCAATGAGGTGTCACACCTGAAATCGCCCCCTTTGCCTTGTAGTTCAAAGTGTTGTGGTCACGCTGGCAGCTTGAGTTTGCCTCAGTGTTAAGACGCTTAATGACAAACTCATTGCATCAGGAGGGAACTCCCCTGTGATCAGACTCAGCATCACCGAGACTGAGCCCTTTTCTGATGGCAGCATTTTCCTCTGTAATTTATCTACTTAGTGATTTCCTGTTAGAAGAGCCATTCTGCAAAAATACCACTTCAACATGTATTCTTAAAATAATTCTACAGCATGGAATGTTGTTGCACCTGAAGTTTATTTTTACATACAGTAAATGACGTGACTCACTCTTGTGCCACATTAAACCACCGCGCACAGCTCCAGTAAGCCTGGCTTTAAATGAGCTTGCCTTTTCCTGTTCTCCAGCAGTCTGTTCGTCTTGGGGTTTAAAATATTCAGTATTTTTGCAGGCCTGGATGTTGTACGATCTGGGGGGAAGTGAGGCAGAGAAAATCCTTGTGAGTCAGTGATTTCAATCAATGTTGAGGGAAGACAACTAACTGATTGTTTCTCTTTTGTTTTGTTAGTGTTAGAAACAATGGCACAGGGAAAGAATGAAGTAATCAACAAGACAGTCGTTTAGGTCACCTAACTAGCAGCTCAATCCATAGTATCAACGTGATGGAGGTTATATGTAAATAATTGTATCTCTCTTATAGATTAATGGATTTGTTGTCATATTTATGGTTTATTATTTTCAGTCAGTCATACTTCCTACCTACTGTATATATTGCGCCTAATATATATATAGACGTGTATATATGTATATATATGTCTATATATATATATATAATGCCAGTATATTAAAACAATACAGTATACATATACTGTATTGCTGTAAAAACTTGAACTACTGAACATTCTGATGTGCGGTGAATAGGAAAGTGTTTTTTCCGATTCTTATTTCCTACTTTGATTATATATATATAATATATATATATATATATATATAATATATATATATAATGTACACACACACACAGTAGGATTTCTTTACATCTGGTGTGGCTGTAGTCCACCCAGACTAAACCATTTCTGTTCAGAACACATTTGATAACAATCCAGATAACAAAAGCCAAAGTAAAAGAAACTCAGCACCAAATCCTCTGAGTGATCACGAGCATGCTGCATGTGGTGCCTGGCCTGCGAGCTGGGGCCAAAAGTCGTTTTCTTAAAATAACAGCCATGAGGGTAAAATAGGCGTTTGGTTAACGGTTAAATCTGCTCACACTGTTTGTTGGTCCAAACACATGGCGACAGGGTTCAAAACAAACAGCAGCCTCTGGGCATTCACAATCACGGCAGCAAGGTGGTGAAACGGCCCGGCCTTCTGTTTTTATCGAATGCCTTTGCGTTGATCATGCTACATCAACACTTTGAGAAAAAAAAAACAAAAACATCTTGTACTCCGAGTTTTGTTTTGTGGCTGGAAGATTAAAATAAATTGGTTTTACTTTAATGATAGATAATTTACTGCTCGAGAAAAATGTTTAAATAATTCATGATAATGACATGGAAATTAGCCACTTCACTAGACTTACTTATAATAATAATAATAATAATAATAATAATAACAACATGGTTATCGTGTAATACAGTAGTGCATAATTAATTACACTTAACCTATTGACTACGGAGACTGCAAGGTGCCAAAAAGACACTTCCTGGAGACTTTAGCTGTAGTTTTGGCGATGAAACCAGTAAAGAGCTTTAAATGTGTCTCATTTCATTTCACTCGGAGAGGAAGTCATATTTCACCTCATGGTTTTATTCCATATTCAATAAAAACCAAACAGAAAATCAAATAGGTTGCGTAATGTATTTTGTTTTGTAAACGACAAAACGTTTATTTTGACAAGAAAATGTGCAAAATGGAAGAAGAAGAAAAAAAAATCAAATATAACAGCTGACACGCGGGCAGTGACCCTCCTCCTGTGTTAGGAGGCTGTTTTGTCAACATTAGTCCAACAAAATAAAAGCCTCTGGTCTTTGGAGAAGCGCTGATTTCATCTTTTCCTGGTGGTTTTTATTGAAGTGTGAGTACAAATATTTTGGGTTTAATGCCCACTGAAGCTGATTCGTATCAGTCAACGTACAAACATGATAAATGTGTTTTATCATGTTTCATCATATCATATCTCTGTTTTCTACAGTTCACAGCTTATCTCTGGTTCTCTGGGCCTTCAGTCAATCAGTGGGATGTAAAGGCCTGTTTAGTGTTGCTGATGTCTTCAACTGTAAAATCCTTGTTTGTTGTTTGTTATAATCTAAGGATTTTTACGTCTTTCCTGCATAGAATAAATTAAAAAAAAATCTGCCGTTGGTTAATATTATTATATATATTTTCATTCAGTTTTTACGGAGCTGATAGCGGATCATGATGAATCTTGATCCAACAAGATGTCCCGAAGCAGGCAGCGGAGCGACTGGGCGAAAAATGCCTTTTGTCTAAAAATGTCTTTGTCAGAGTTTCTCTTTGTCTTTGTAAGAACATGGACGGACAGTCAGGTGACAGGACAGGTTGTGTTCGGTCACTTCAGTCCGTGCTGCGTCTCTTTGTGTCTCCTCAGATCCACCTTCCTCTGGAAGCCTTTGCCGCACAGGTCGCAGCCGAAAGGTTTGTAGCCGGTGTGTTTCCTGCTGTGTGTGATGAGGTTGGAGCTCTGGCTGAACGCTTTACCACACACCTGACATTTGTGCGGCTTCTCACCTGAAAAAACGATTAGAAAACATTTTTATTATTATTATTATTATATAAATTATAGGAAGAGCAACAATTTGACTTGTGCCGGATGAAGCTTCTGTGTTTCTGCTGCACTTGCCTGTGTGGATGAAAGTGTGTTTCTTCATGTCGGACTTCTGGTGGAACCTCTTCCCGCAGTACTGACACGGGTATGGCCGGGTGTCGGTGTGGATGAGAAGGTGCGTCGACAGCGTGGACGACCTTTTGAAACTTTTGCCGCATATTTTGCAGTCGAAGCTTCTCTCCTGAAACGAGACGTAGAGGCGGGTTTTTAACCCATGACTTCAAGTCAGCGCACTCCTTCCTGACAGGAAGACAGGTTGACAACAAGATGCAGACGCAGAAAAAAGGTGTGAACTGTAGAACGTGAACGTGTGAGGTCACCTGAGAGTGCACAGCTTTGTGTTGTTCCAGGCTCACTGCGTGCCCGAAGGTTTTGCCGCAAATTTCACACGCAAATGGCCTGGTGCCGATATGCGATCTGCGGACGTGAACCTCCAAACCGTGCGGAGTAGAAAACACCTGAAGAGGGGGAAACGAGAAGTTGTAGAAGTTTTGGAAATAACAATAAAGGTTCATGAAAATAGAAATATTTTTTGTTCAATAAGGAGGTGTCAGCTCAGAGCCATTTAGTGTCTTGCTCAAGGGTTGGGGTTTTCTTGAAGTCACATAGGATCATGCATGCTGCAGATCTTGTGGTGTTTTGTATATTAGATGATTCACAGACTGTAGCCGAGGCTGTGCATGCAGCTCCATCCTCACCTTACTGCACTTGACGCACTTGTAAGCTCCGTTAAGGATGAGACTGGAGCACAGCAGCTCAGACTGGGCCTTCACGCTGTGGTTCTTCCCGCGCAGGCCTCCCTCAGGAAACAGCAGAGCAGCAGCGTGCCTCCTGTAGTCACTGTAAGTCTCCTCTCCCAGAACCTGCTCTGAGTACAGGGCTGAGTGGGCACTCTGCTCCCCGTAAAAGGCCATCGCTGCCGGGCCCCGGTCCACCTCCATGCTCGGGTGTAGATTCTGCTGCAGCAGGGGCCTCAGCCCGGGCCCCGGGTAGCTGCTCCAGGCGTAGGGCCGGAAGGGGACAGTGAAGGGCTGGGTGTCGTCAACCAGAGGAGACAGGGATTTCTCAGAATCAGCTGGAGAAGGGAACAGAGAGGCCAGATGAAAATTTGATGTAAAGGAGGTGTTTACAGGGCCCCACAGGAGCCGATTTAAGTCAGTCATGCAATGTTCTTTCAGAGAACATCTCCCTGATGATGGAAACCAGGAATATCAGATGATACAGAGGAGCGTGCTCTATAGCTAAAATAAATCAATGAGCTTTAGAAAATTGTGTTAAAGTTATTCCAAGGCCCAACACACTTATATAGGCCTACACTTTTATATGTAACAAGTGAACTCCTATCATATGTAGGCTATATGATTAAGTAGGTAAATTACTTATAGAACAATACACAAAATATGTAAACTCACTATATCTACCACAAAGGTCCCATAAGTTTTTATGTAACTTAACCGAAGTGATCATCTTAACATTTTAGTGTTATGGCTCCAAAATAGTGCGGAAAATTTCATACACATAATGGAAAATAAACAGTTATTCCTACACAAGAATTCGACTTGTATTGTTACCTCATGTTTGTGGTTTTTGTAGCCTCATCAAGCTTTTACTGTTTCCCCTCTTGGCCTTTTATGTGTTTCTATATAGTACAAGATCATAAGTGGTGTGTGTGTGTGTGTGCGCGCGCGTGTGTGTGCGCGCGTGTGTGTGCGCGCGCGTGTTTGTGTACCCGGTGATGCAGAGGGGGACGGAGGCCTCCAGAAGTCCTCGTAGTCCGGGGATCGAGTGCACAGACTGTCGGCGCAGCTGAGCGGAGACTTTGGGGAGAAATCAGCAGCGTCAGCCAGGTGGGAGTCCGGGGAGAGGCCATACGTGTCCACCGTCAGGTCGCTCTCATCTGGGAGCTTATCTGACTCTGAGGACACACACAGGACAGTCAACATCATCAAGTAAGGTCATCCTAATTAACTGCCCAGGCGACTATTATACTTCTCTTATCTTCTATGACATAAATGGTGGCACTTGCAGTACATTTAAGCCAGTGTAGGTGAATTGTCAAGATTTATTAGATGTACAAAATTACCTAAAGTTTAGACCAATATCACCTTATTTCTATTAGTAACCTTTAATTTAACATGAAAGAAAAACAATGGTGATACAACAAAAACAAAACTTGCGACACTCTAACGTTTAAATGTATCTATCGAGGTGATTTTTCGTCATCATAACATCGCAGAACCAACTGTGTCAACATCAGTAATTCAGCTTACATTTTGTTTAATAAAATTATTTAATTTTTAAAGGGATTTTTTTTTTTTTTTTTTTTTTCGGGAAAAAAAACACGTTTTGAAGCCAATATTAATAATCTGAACGACTCTTTCCAGACCTTAAAACTACAAATCAGTTGTACTTCTGTGCACAGTTTCACTTTAATTTGCTCTCCTCCTGTCAGCAGTCCACGCACTCAAAGATAGTTTTTATTTAGAAAAAAAAAAACATCGGGCCATTAGCTTTCATCAGATGGGATGAGAAAAAAAAGGGTTTAATGATTAATTTATTTCGTCATTTTGCACATACCTGAGCAGATTTGCGTCAGTATAGAATCCAGCCTGCTGAAATCATCCTCTAAAGACCGGGGCTTGTGGTAACTGTGCGCCTTCTTACTCTTCACCAAGAAGGATCGAGGCATCTCTGACCTGAGAGCAGAAACCACCGATAGTGACAATAATAATCCAGCGGCAAAGAGGATTCCTTATATGCTCGGTGCTGCTCGCTCTGAACCCTGCAGACACTTGGTCTCCTCTGGAGGGGAGATGTGGGTCCCAAGTGCTTTAAATAACAGAGTTCAACCTGACGACGGAGCATGCGCCGACTGAGTCCAGTCCCGTTCCGTCCGCCAGGTGTTGCATGGACAGGTGTCTGTGCTGCGGCTCCCCCGCTCACCCCGCTGCAAGTAAATACACCCGCATGCAGTGTTTTAGTCAGCGTGCAGCCCGAGGTGGTTACAGGTGATAGGAAAATAGTCTGCAGCGGGGGCGACTTCTTGTCATGTCTCCCCAAAGCAGCGTCACTCATTTCAGGACTTGACTTGATAATTTAGGCCTATATGACGCGGTGGTGTGCCTTTGCTCTACTTTCAAGAAACAGCCGGGGAATTATCAGCTCTTCATTTTATTTCTTTGTTTCAAAATAGAAATCAGACAATAAGTCTGAATCTAAGTAACTTGATTTTTTAAATTTTTTTGCTGTGTTTATCCTACCGCCTGGAGCTGCCAGGCTGCAGTTCGTGTCACACGTCGGAGGAGATACACGGTTTATCAGCGCTTTACTCAATCTTTGGAGGGGGGCAGAGGGAGAGGAAACGCGGGGGCGCACCCCAGGGTGTCTTGTTGAACCTGCATGTAGCACCTAGTGGTAAAATATAAGAGGTGGGGGAAACTCTGACCCGACTGTGTAGTCGCTTAATATTGAGTCACTTATAGACACAATTGCAACACCGCTATAATGTTGCCTAAAATAATATGAGAGAATGGCATTGGCAATAATTCAGTAGCCTATAAATCTATACATAAAACGCATATGAATGACACTTTGCTCCACGCAGGACAGAGTTTGGCGCAGCTTTGTTCCGGTCCGCTGGTCAGTTGATCTCAAGGACTGTTATTATGTGACAGACACTCGCCGTACTCGCGCCTGCGGTGACAGTTTCACGTTACCCTGGGCATTATGCTGAAAAGGAAGAAGCCCTATAATAGAGACAGTTTGTTTTCTGTTCGCTCAGGACGCAGATTACAGCGGCTATTGAGCGTCATTACGCACGGAACAATAGAGAGGAGAGAGCTGCGCGTCCTGCGTGGTGTCTTTTATCCAGGTGCGATACATTAAATGAATCCTGTAACTTTTATAGTGATGGAGTGGATGCACTTTGATGATCAATAATCAATATGAATGAAATTTATTATATTGAATCATCTATTATTATATGTGGAGTTTTACCACATACAGAGCTGAGTTAAACTGACACACCCGGTGACTAACATTTTCTACTCATCAGTAAATCAGCTCAATTCAAATCCTCCACAAGTACAAAGGTCTGCCGAAACACAAACTGAGAACTCCCATGGAATAATAGATGGTTTCAAACAGCTTTAGCATGAACACAATATTATATCCCACCTCTGTACTTCTACACTGGATGGATTAACGGCACAGGTTGGCCACAGGCGGAGCAGCCTATCAGTGAATGAAGGACAGGAAATCAAAGCTCCACATGCCCCGGCTCGATTAGACTCATCACGGCCGCGGCATCCGGACACCGTGCTGGTGAAGATATGAGGCCAGAACCGATAAAAAACAGAAAGATAGGCCGGCAGAGGAGTTTCACAACGCCGCGCAACAACGGTGTCATCCTTCCATGATAGTAAAGAGTTGAATACAACAGGCCTAATGTCCCAACAATAATAGGCTACTACTATAGCTTAATAATAATATTAAAAGTTTTCATCAGTACCCGTTTATTGCAGAAGCCAGTTTGTCTGAAGGCAGAAGATTTTAGTTCCCTCCGCTCGTTTTAACGCTGAATATATTAAATCAATTTCCTTATAACTTCCGCATAATTTAAATCCGACTCTGATGAAATTCAGATTTTAAGAAGGGCATCTATATGTGAAAACACTAAATGAGTCATCTCCTCCCACATGGCACCACAGTCTTTGATTTTAATGCCTCTTGTTATGGTGAACATGCCTGGACGCGCCTTCAAACATTTATAAAAAACATAACTTGTAGGCTATTTAATAAATTTGTTTATATTTAAAAAGCTGAAATTTAGCTCATGTTAACTGTGAATCCAGACTTGCGACGCAAGATGGTTGAAACGATCTAAATCGTATTTTTGTGGAAACATAATCACGCGCAGGAAAAATCACATGGACTGAAGTTTTACAACCAGCTTGTCAGAATTTGAATAAATTGTCACTGACTTTCACTGCGCCGTGAGCTGCACGTTCCAAACACCCGCGAGCATAATCAATCACTGCAATATAAAATATAACATCACACTTAGATCACTGGCCATCACAACCACACTCTCCTTAAAGATCAATAATTAAAACAAAAAAACACATTCATAATCATCTGGTAATTATACAAACCTTGTTATTCTTTGAGTGGCTGATGAGAACCCGCTTTTAAAATGTGGTTTTCTGCATGAAATGATTAGTAGTTGAGGCTCAGCTCTGAAAACCGCGAGAAATCACTTCCTGAAACAGTCAATCTAAGCAGAAAATCTTCACAGAGGAAGGCAGAGCTAAGCCTAAAGTCTGTGAGAGCAGGTTAGAGATCTGCCACCATCAAGACACACACGCCAGGCCAGGAGTTTATCAAACATTTTATTATGAACTCATCGCACGCGCGCACACGCACACACACACACACACACATACACATACAACAGTCTCATTTAGTCCCCAGAGTGTGCTGACTGCTCCATAGTGTTGCCATGTGTTACTGCACTGCAGACTTGAAAAGTGCCATGAAGTGTTCCTCTCCCGTCAAATGACACAGCGGGTATCTTGTTCATCAAAGGGACATAGTAATTACCAAGTCAAAGTCACAGTCTTTTCTGTTTCCTGGAACTGACTGTCTTTCACTGAATACAGGAGTTAGTGTTCAGTATGGACATTCAGAAAAATTCACTCTTACACATCCAGGTCCTTGCACATGAAATGGAGTGGATCTAGCTTGTGCTTGAGCACCATACAGAACTTAGTGCTTACTTTGGTGCCACTCCCGATTCTTCTCCAGATGTTATAAAGTGTACAAACGTATGTTGTCTTATCTCCCATCTCCAGCTCCCTAGGACCGTCAATTTGTGATGCACAAAAACATATGATAGACATTACTCATGTTTGACTCATCGGCCTATGTGCTGCTCTGCACAGCTCATTGTGAAAGTGAAGTCTGGATGCTTTCAGAGAACTCTGAGCAACAAATCTGTCCTCTTCTGTCTGCACTCATTATTCATGTTAGATGATGTCTTCTAAGGAGGAAAGATCTTTTTCTCTTAACAGGAATTCAACTCACTCATCTCAAAAACCAGATTTGTCATTTGTGTTACCATAATAAACTAAACTATATGTCCCTTTTTTCTGTATTGTACAATATATTCTAACCGTCAGATATGCAAGAGATACATATGTTCAAGTTCAAAAGGAGTTGAGAAAAAAAACAAAACAAATAAGCAAACAAACTTAATACACATTTACATATCTACAAGTATTCAGATGTCACAACGAGCTTGTGATACACCAGCCCAGGTGAAAGGCATGCGGCATGTGCTAAGGCCTAAAGGTCATCATTACCTCAATCAACGCTGGCTGATACAAGTGGCTTTGATACCAGGCTCTGACCAAGCTCATCAACACCATACATATATATTTATATATACACACACAGCACTCATACAATTCTGCCTCTGCATGACGGACACTTAGTAGTAACGGCATCAATACGCTGTTGATGTTCATTTATAAAATGCTTTAAAAATATAAAAATACATTGGATGAAGTGTGTAGTAGAGCATAAAATGTTTTATTGCACAGTCTCTTTCTCTGTGGTGTACCGACAGGGGGGCGGATTGACAGACAGACTGCCCCTCCTCCCTCAACCCCTCCCCTTTCTCTTTCTCTTTCTCCACCTCCTCCTCCTCCTCCTCCAGTTTCTGTGGTCCAGTAGAGTTTAATACGTTCCATATAATTTAACTCTTTGCTCAGGTCCAGACTGATGATGTGCCAGCTGTCAGGTGTTTGCTGCCCTCAAGAAGATAACAAAAACTACAAATAGGAGGTAAACGAAACAGAAAAAAAACTAAATCCGTTAAGTGTGATTCTCGTGATATGAAATGTTGATGTATATCCTCTCTGAAACTCAGAACTCCACATCCAGACTTCTCCTCTGAAATGGTTGCTGGAAACACCCCCTCTTCGTCAGTGAGTGTTGACAGCCTGTGTCCCGACTCTGGCAGGCAACCCCTGCTTGTCACACAGTGGTGGACTTGCTCTGAGGGACAGAGAGCCGCAGGGCCTCCCCGTCATCCTCCTCGCTTTCGCTGTCCCCGAGGTTGGGGTGCAGTCTGATACGGCTACTGCTGCTGCTGCTCTGCTGGGTGTCCTTGAGGCTGGGGTCCTTGACTCCATCTTCATCTGAAGACTGGTAGGACTCATCATCCCCCGCATAGTGATTGACGATGTGGATCCCATCAAAAGTGGGCTGGCTGGCCAAGCCCCTCTGCCCTTTTAAGCAGCAAATCTGTGAGAGGAAGAACGATGAGTATTAGGAGCAATGCAAAGACCGTTTGTTATCTTGCATGCAAAATGAGCAAAAGACAGATGTGTAACTTCTGAGGGAGAAAACAAAGACAGGAGCAAACTATTTAAAACTCTTTGGCAGTCAGTGATATTCTACTCATATCACCGGCACAAACAGAAACAGATGTCTTTAACAAATCTGACATGCAGGCAGCAATTCAACCAAAAACCTCAAGGAAATAATGTGATAAAGTATGAACTGTGGCCCAATTCCATACTACACATCAGCAGGATACAGTATATACTATATTATCATATTTACAGTATAGTATAACAAAAACAATGCATGTAAAAAACTAAATGGTTTTGCAAAGATTTAATGCTTTATATTTTGTTTTCTGAGATATTTCTGTTAGTTAGTTCAAATTAGTTTGAACTGTTTCGAGCTGTACATCACATGGTGGGACAACAGAGTCAATGAACCGTTTCCTGTCCACACTGAGGTCTCTGGTGAGTGTCCTTTATTTTGTCACATTTCCAGTGAGAATGAACTGAAAACTTTCTTACAATCAGTATGTAGTATAGAGTTGGGACAAAGCTGTTGTATAATTCAAGGGTGTGGTCCTGAATGTGTCCCACAGCAAGGGGCTGTTGTCTGCTGTTCATCAGAGGTGGGAAGTTAACGCGACGCCAGATCAACCAGCTGGGGGGGGGGGTGAGATCATTCTAGCCGCACTCAGAAACAAACTTTCATGTATGTAAGGTTATCTTCCCCACGTCTGATTTCTCTTCCCTTTCCTACGGGAGCATCCAGGACCGCCTCCCTTGCTATGAATTAAGCAGACCCAGACGGGGGTTACAGTTGGGGCCACACAGCCAATGAGATGAAGGTCAACACAAGGTCAGGTTTCAACCACTGAAGGTTACAAGGCACATCTGTGCCAACTCACCTGGGACGGCCTGCCATTCAGCAGACAGACATGAAGGAAGAGACGCATTCAGAGGCCAGTTCAGAGCACAGTACACAATGCACAAAAAAACAAAAATAAGCCCTTGTTTACCTGCACCTGTCTAAATATGGGAGTCTACCTTCCTGTTGTTGTCACGCAAAAAGGAAATTGTGATCTAATCAACATCTGACTGGCAACAGCAAAAAGTTCCAGCTATATGATGCAGGTTTTAATGCAGATTGTGACGGAGGATGATGGTGGAACTTGGTATTGAGCCATTTTCAGTTTTGCTCAGTGCAGCCACATGAGCTCGCGTGATTCATAGCAGGCCACTCTTAACCTAAGATGACCACCATGAAAAACCAAGTGAGAGAGGAAATGACTGTGTGACTGCACTGCCTTCATATAGAGACAGAAGAAGTTCATGCATGCAGCTCAATTTAACCACAGTTCACTGCCTGTTTTCAGTAACGATATGCTATTGTTCCTGTACATAACTGATCTGCAGGAAGTAAGCAAGAACCTACTAATAATAATATATAATATTTTCTCTTGAAACTAGTGTTAGAGTAACTACTTATCTATTTGGTCACTGACAAGTAAGTAACGACCATTTCCACTGCCTCTATATTTATTTATTCATTTATCTTTTTCAGGTGTGGTCCCTGGCAGCAGTTGATTCAGGGAACTCTGGGTCTCCCTATTCCACCTTCCAACCAAAACCACAACAGAATTCAACTGCCAAACCCATAATAAAGCGGCCCCCTCCTTAGGGTCTTAGGCAGTTTATGACAGGATGGATCAGCTCCCTTCTGTCATGGTTTGGAGTTGATCCAAATCTCGATAACAGTCCCAACAACCAAAAAAAAAGACAAAAGACAGAACTGGAAATGTGTGGTATAAGGTATAAAAAAAAGTCATAGTATAATAAGTCATAAAAACATATGTTATAGTGTACCAATAGGTAACAGTATAGTAAGGCATAAAAAGGCATACTATACTATGACTTTTTTTTATGCCTTACTATACTGTTACCTATTAGTACACTATAACATGTTTTTATGACTTACTATACTATGAGTTTTCATTACTTTTTATGCCTTGCTTAGTAAGGCATAAAAAGTAATAAAAACGTTATAGTATATTATATAAGCTATATACATTATAGTACTAATAGGTAATAGTATAGTAAGGTATAACAACGTCATAGTACAGTAAGGCTTACTATACTATGACATATTTTTTTAACGGAATAAAAAGCCATAAAAACGTGCCTCCGCCATGTCGCCCCATAAATAAATCACAGTATAGTTAGTCAAAAGAAAGTCATAGTATAGTAGCATTACTATATATTTCTATATACCAACATATATTGCTATATATATTTAAATGAATCACATCTTACTTAAAATCAAATTTTCAGTTATAATGTTTAAGTTGTAAATGTAGGTACACCTTATTATCTGTCTTGGCTTTACTCTGTGATGAGCTTGGTTTAAAAACATTTGTAGGGTATTCACACGAGCTGTGCAGTGTTAGCTCCACACAGGAAATCTCTGGGTGTAGTTAACACTTCTAATTTGTTAGCTTCAAAGTAAAACCATATCTGAGGGAATGTTTTGAAACCTTTCAAAAGCTAGATGAAAAGAAACAGTGACAACTAAACTTGAGTCTTTACAAGGAAAAAAACAACAAAAAACGGTTGAAACATAAGCTAGCATGATTAGCATTAGACCTGATGCTGCTCACCTCATGTTTTAGTTCTGCTATCTGGTCTTTGAGGTCACGGATGTACTGGCTCGAGTCTGTGTGGTTCAGCTGGCCTTGGACCTTTCCTTCTTCTTTCTGTTAATAGAGGAGATGAGTTTATTTTTTAAAAGCTACAGCACTGAGTGATGCAGGAGGCTTTCCTACAGAGGACGTTGACAAAACATTCTAGCTTAGACTTATGTGGTTAAACCCAGGACTAAATGGAAAATGCAGCATACACTTAAAATAACTAGATTCTGGAAATTTCAGTGACGTCTTGATGAATACCCACTGATATTCATTGTTGCGAGCTACTGCACATTCAGTACAAAAGGCGTCGGACGCTGGAGCTCCATTTCTAAAAAAGCAGCATGACGAAGTGCCCTGCATGTGTGGTGGGCGAGTAAAGTGACAGATGTCAGAGGAAACACAAGACAGTGTCATTTGTGCTTGATTTCCTCCTGGGGCCCTGGGGATGAAAGCTGCTTGTTAGCTTTAACAGTTAAACAGTCCATGTGATGTTTACCTTCATCAGCAAAGACATCTGCAAGCATTGGGGACAAACACAAACTCTCTTTTCAAACCTCAATCACACCACCTGAACTCGCCAGTTCTTACTGTGAGACCAGTGACGGGTGCACAGAGGAGTTCAAGCTACAGGCTGCAGCACAGAAACACCAAGACAAAAAAAGAAAGACGGTACACAGCAGGGCTTTGGTGTTGAGGTAGAGATGTGGACTGAGGCTTCACCTCAAAATACAGACAGGGTTTTTGATTCCTGTGGTGAAATGGGGTTGGGTTTGGTGGGTCCCAGTAGGGCTTTTTTTTTCACAAGGAGACACAAACAAGTGAGATTAATACGAGGATCTGTTGTTTTTGAGGTTTCCCCGCTCCAAAACACTGCAACAATAAGGGGCAGGCAGTTAATAAGACTTCCTCATGTTCAGCTGTGTGAATAACCAGGTGTCAGACTGTAGACAAATGTGAAACGTGTCTCTCTCTCTCTCTCTCACTCACTCACTCACTCACACGTGCACACACACACGTTCCTGCAGCCTCAAAGACTATGTATAATGACATGGTAGAAAAGTTACATTTGTTTAAAGCATCGACAGCAGTGAACCGAGCATTTCTTTGATCTCAACAAACATCATCACGTCTTGAATGAGTGAGAAAAGGAAAAAAAAGAAAAAAAAAAATCACAGCTCATAAGAGAAGTTTCCATGAACTGCACTAGAATTTCATTTGACAGTATCAGCACAAAGTGTTTTACACTGTGTCTCCATTGTTGTGGCGATGTGTGCTTTATTCTGAATCTGCAAAGACCTTTGTGAAGGATATGTGAAAATTCACAGCTGTAGTGTGAAATGATGATTTATGTTATCTTTGTTGTATGATTAAACTTTCCTTTATCATTTAGCTGCTTCTCAGTAAAGAGCAGATATGAGTTCTAAAAAAAAAAAAAAAAAAACCTAAAATCTTTAAGTGCCATGTTAACATTTTAAGCTTTACCACAGATGTGTCACTAGAATTTCTTCTTCTTTTTTTTTTTACGTGTAAGACTGATGAAACATATTTCCCACAACAACATGACAAATACAGAGTAAACATCACAATGTCCCTTATAAGCTAAAACATTTTGTATAAATCTCTGAGTATGTAATAGAAACCTCAAAATAAACCATGCATGTCACCTTTGGTAGAGTCTCTGCTTCAAGATGTGAAACCACTTCCTATCAACCCAGAGACAGTGGCGCTGTGGCATTAAGCAGAGGCCAGGACTGTGGTAGTGAAAGAATCCTACATAAACCTTTCTAGACATCTCAGTTTCACTGACAACATTTTCCATCATCATTCAGTGTTTGTCATCAATTTGTATCTGTTCACTGAACCTCTGAAACATTACCTTTGTAATCATGAAGGATGATAAGATATATATGACTACAACTTCATCCATATCTGACACTGCTCTGAATTCTATACTCGGTATTCAGGCTCAGACAAAGATAATCTGTCTGATCTCCGTGACCTCTGACCTCTCGCATTAAAACCGAGCTGCAAATCATCCCTATCAATATGCGTCACCTTCTGAGGAGGAAGCAAAGAATCTGATTTTTTTTTCTCCCTTTTTTGAAACTGAAGCAAAATGTTCACCCACAACAACAACTTATAGAGCAGGAATCGTGATTTTTGGTCAGACAGAGGTTTGATTTAATACCTTGCTCCTGACAAAATAAATAAACAATCATACCAAGCAAAGAGTGCTTTTTTATGACACACCCAGCTGTGTTCATTACACAGATTCTAAAGAGTACGAGGGCGGTAGTGGTAAAGTTTTGGTGTTGCATGTTTTGCTCTATCACTTAGTAACAAAACCTCAGACCACACTGTGTGATTGTGTATGCCTGTGAAAGGGAAGAGGGGGAGGTTTTGTTGTAGGTGTCATACTTATAAATAGTCTAGGCCTTCAGCTTAAACCATTTGAAACACCTTACACTCAGGAGTGCATTTACAAAGGGGAGGGCCTGCTCCGCTGGGTCAAAGTCACAACTGTTTCCAACAAAGCAGTCTGTAGCTCAAAGCAAAGGTGACCCACGTTTCTGGTTTGACTGTCAGTTCAAGCAGCTGATATTTACGCTGAATCAGTGGCACTTAACTTAAGGTTATTAATGTACAGAATTATAAGTTTTATGAAGGCCTATTAATACAGCTGTGTTTTGGTAGAGGAAGAGTTATAGTTGTTGACTATTGCATTAATTAACGTTTTTTTTACTGTATTGAACTACACTACTGTAGGTTATAAACCATTTATAACATGTTTATATACTGTAATGGGTTTGAAGCATCTTGCAAGCAGCTTGTGTTTTCGGCGTAGCTTGCAATGCACTTGCTTGTTGAGCAGCTCCAACTAAAAACTGTTCAACTTCAGCAGATCAACTCTCTACATTACTGCAGCGTTTTCTCTGCCATCCAATCAGAGTGCATGGATGACGCTGAGGAACTGAAACATTAAGAATATGCAGTACTCAACAAAACTGAGTACACCCCTGTGCAATATCATTAAAATGTTAAATAATTCAAAACTATCATCTTGCACCGATTGTATTATTTTTAAGTTGAAGTGTTGGCTATTTTATCTTATGTATAATTAAAAATAAACATGCATAATAGACATGCATAGACTACATTAAAAGTAATTAAACCTGTGATTTTAAGCCTAATTGCATGGACAAAATTATAAAATAACGTGAACACAACAGCTTCCTCAGTCTTAGCCTGGGCTGTGTCTTGAACCCAAAAGAACATCTCTATACATTCATACATGATCAATTTGATTCTTTTCCACTGGTCGGTGCTGATGATCAATAAGCTTGATGACAACAATTTTGGAAACTTTGGAAAATTTCAAAGTATTAACACCTCATGAGAACATATGTGGGCTCACTAGCAAGTCAGACCGAGGGAGACAGTCATTTGTGATGAGACAAAAATGTCTCTTGACTCATCCAAAAACATGAATTTATCCCACTTGCTGAGAACTGCTCACAACACTGGAATAATTTTAAGAAAAGGTAACGATACCATTTCTGACAACATACAGTATTAATAGACCTGAAAACACAGTATTAAACATTAATATCTCACATCCAGCTTGTGTGAAGTCCCCAGTTTACAACCAACCAATTACCAGGAACAGAGGCAACAGAATCTTCGAAATACACAGGATGTGCGTAAAAGTCGCTAATCTCGATTTCAACATAGAAACAAGCAATTTTTAAGTGTTAAAGATTCATATTTATCCACATTTATTCATTCACATTTATCCACTGACGCATTTAGTCATATGAAAAGTGTTGAGCCCTCAAACAACATTATTTTATCTGTTATCAATCATTACTGTTGAGTGTTGGTGCTGTAAGAACAGGCCTGTATTTGTTTTGGTCACCCTTGTTGTGTGTAACGTTACATTTGTTTGGGGATAAATACTGGTTTCTTCACTCTTGTTCGTCGAGACGTGTTCACACCGGGAGTGAGTTTATATGCAAGTACTGTGACCGAAAGAGTCCTCACCCACCGTTCCAAAATATTTTAACATTTGACCAAAAATACAAGTAGACAAATTATTCACGGCTCTGAGATACAATGAACTAGATAACAAAAAATAAGACGCCGTCATTTCTTGCAGAGCAACTACAGAAAATCTGTGTGTGTGATGCAACACCTCCTTTGTCGATCTGATTGAAAGGTGTGGAAAAAAAAAAAAAAATTCTGTTTTGAGGCAGATTTTTTGCTTTTACTGTCATTTGTAAACACACATCTGCACTCTGTACCCTACACACAGTTTCAGTGTGTAAGTTTTAAATGTAAAGCATTTCTCTGTAACATAACATATTTGTGACTAAACAAGCCACAGTTTCATGATCAAATCTGATTTGATCAGATTTGACACTGGTGTCTCCATGGAAACATGTTTAAACAAGACATCAACTACTATCAGATTCAGATGCTCGCACTTTGACAGTCTGTAAGAAGAGTAAGAATGAACTACATATACAGAAATCCATCATGTGAAATAACCACTATCAAACAAACTGACCAATCAAACCCTCTAAAATAATAATATACAGTAACTCAGTTTGGTCACTACACACATTCCTGTGCAGGATATTTCTGTCTGTCTGTCTGAAGGAAGTTCACATTGGCAAGAAAAAGTGTGTGAAACCATTAGAATAACCTGGTTTGTGATGAAATGTGATCTGATCTTCATCTAAGTCTAATGTCAACAAACACAGTGTTTCTGAGTTAATATCACACAGGCAATTATAATCTTTTGTGTCTTTATTGAGCACATTTATATTCTGTAGTATATTTACTTTGATGTTTAGGGTCATTGTTCTGCTACATCACCTAACTAAACATTTTCTCAGCAGTGCTGTGGAGAGTCAAGGAGCTCTCTGAGAGCAGGAAAGCCGCTGCTTAATTGGGTGACTCTGTAACCCTTTTCAGCTTTATGCAAATCCACAAAAGTTGATTCTAAATCTTCTTCTGTGCTCTCTTTTGCAAGGCCTGGTTCACATCAGCAGATGTTTCTTGTAAATTCTTGAATAGCAAACATATACAAAGTGTTTTGTAATACATCAAAGTGGCTCTAACCCACACCTCCGATCTCCAGGTTTGATAACTCCTGATTCCAATTAGCTTCTGTTGCTGCCACTCACATACTGTCTCCAGGCTACACAGTGGATGTTTAGTTGATGTTTTCAATGTGGACAAGAACAATAGATCTGTGTGTCGCTAATGCTAATAATAATAATAATAATAATAATATAGAGTGTGTTTGTTCATAATTGTAACTTGGATGAAGATCTCACCACATTTCAAGAAGAATTTATGCAGAAATGGAGGGCAATTTAAAAGTGTTTTTTCTTTTTCCTTCCACTGTA